TGGGTGTGCTATTTTTCTTCCGTATTTTCCATTCATTGGATTCATTCGGCGTTTATCTAGACTTCCTATCGGCGCTCCGTTCTTTTCACGGACGCTCTCACGCCTCCGTTTTCTGCTCTCTTGGATCGTGGTGAAAAGACGCTAGTCCTGGAGAAGAACCGATCGGTTGCTCGTTCGGCCCTTCGGTATGCTGCTTCCTCACCCGAGCGCTCGTCTGCCGAGCAAGGTTTCGCGCGTTCCAGCAGCTGCCGTCCGAGTCTATGGAACACAGCGTTTTCGAATAGGATACGACAAAAGCACCGACAGACTCGGACAACGGAGTCGTTCTGAATGAATATCGCGCTGATTTTCACCCCTCATCGAAAGTGGGCAAGGCAATGGTGGCGGATCGACGTGATGCTTGAAACTTGTTCTTCAGGCCCGGAATCGATTTTCCGCTGTGGGATGCTACGGAAATAGTGACGCCTGTTTGTGCGGGGTTTCTCGAATATCCCGTGTTGCCCGAACGCAGTCTACGTACAAGAATCGTTTCCTCTGAGTCACCGGAGTCGCGGAACTCTGTGCTCGTTATGATATATGTGGGTATGCCCAAATGACGCGAGAATACCCGGAGCCCCAGTTTTCCCTGACATGCACGTATGTTTTGTTCTGAGCCCATGACCGGGGCAATCGAGAGCAGATTCACGACTTCGACGGGCCGAAATGACTCCATCAGTGTATCTGCCGCATGTTGTCGGGAATGGGCGAGTGCGATGTGGCCTTGTATCGATATCACCGTTTCTGGAAAGCTTCTTGATCCCTCCATGTAATCTTTGGCAACAAATAAGGAATTTAGAAAAGAATCACGTAGCCTCCTCCTCAGAGATTGCTTCCGATGCTCGCATCGAGCCTGTTTTTGCTCGGTTGGCCAGATCCCTCGGTTCGCCCAGCCGGTCCGATGGCTGTTCTGCGAAGTTGCTGGCTGAGATTGCGTCAGAGGACGCTGGAGGGTTCCAGGGTTCCCAGCTCCGATGTGCGACATCTGCCCAAGCGGATCATTCCGACCCGCTCGTTGTGAATCGAAGGTGGGTCACTGAAGACACGGAAAAATCATGCGCGAGGCACGCCATCGACAAGCGTCTTCCACAATCCATGGGAACGTCCGCTATTGTTCAGAAACGAGATGTCAGCCGAGGATGCCCCGAGAGAATCGCTCGGCTCCGGAGCCTCCGAAGGGTCCCCACGACGAGTTCCAAGAGCAGGAGGAGCGCGAAACGGCCAGCACAGGACCTCAGAGCTGAGGCTATTGAAGACTTATCGAACATGGATATGCTGTTAGAACGAAGGAGTTCCCGGACATCTCCTGTTCCGAATAGCCCCGAGAGCAGAGGGCCCTTTCCGCGGGGACCCTCAGGAGGAATAGAAGTTGCTCGATGTTCGGCAACTCTCCGACCGTGAATCGACGGATCCCGCCTCTCGGGTCGGTTGGGGCGATCAGAGTATCTTGGGTCGACATTGCTGACGTGCGGTAGCTCCTGGTCATGACTGATGGCTCATTGTCGGATCATGGGCGTCAAAATCTTTTCAGTGCGTCCACGTTTCACCTTAAAGGCGATTGGGGATTGAGAACGCGCTTTTGCACTCGATGCCTGAACATTGCGAGCGGGTATTTTCCCGGAGAGCGGAGAGAGGGTCCGCTACGCCCTGCATGAGGTATGAACGATCGAATATCGGGGGACGAATCCTCACACTGGAACATCATCGAGTCTGACCCGTCTGAAATGAGGGATACCGAGGACGGGATGATCATATGATCGACGAAGCCGAACGATGTCTGTACGCCAGCTATCCTTCCGTTCACTGAGATGGCCGATGTCGAGGTAGATGGGCTCTTTGAAATGACCCCCCGGACCTCCGACTTTTTATGATCAGGAATTCCGAGGCTTTTTTTCCGAATTCATACGATTTTCACGATCCTGTAGCGGAAAAGTCATGGAGGCGTGTCGGCTGACTCTTCTGATCGACGGGCAGCTGCGCAGGAGATATCTCGAGAAGTTCGACTGATTCGCAGTTCGGATAGGGTAGCCATGAAACGGGGCCGATCGGTGCTCATACGCATCGGAGGGACGACGGGGATAAAGAGGAATAGAGGAGTTTCGCATCTGCTGTCTAGATCTCGCCGAAACACGCTTCGGGATAGAGCCATCGAGATTGGACTCACACGATTTCTCCTTATCCGCCTAATAGAAAGTGGCATGTATGTATGTACCAGGACTTATTTATTTGTGATATGCGAAAATAACGCTCAAACTTTTGTGAGAAAGGCGTGAGAGGAAGATTCGATGCTCATAACGTCGATGGGTCTGGGTGCCGAGGGGATGCGGTATTTACTCGGGGAACCAGGGGATGACCAAGTGCTCGGTCGGAGATCCTGGAGAAGCCATGAACGTGACCTCCGATTCGGCCCGAAGCGTCCTCCCGCTTCAGAAACTGCTGATGCACCACGAGTGTGGCGGTCGAGAGCAGCGGCGAAGACAGAAAACGGGACGCTCGGCCTGCACGAGGTCCGAACGATACCTCCCAAGAAGGAAATCGTGGCTAAACTGGGCGGCAGAAAAATTCCCGTAACCCACGGGTTCTTTCGGGCTGGACCTTAGAGCCGCAGAATCGGTTCTCCAGCGACAACTTTTTTTTCTTTCTCGAGAATCGTTCGAGTAAGGGTTTTTCAGCGGCTCCGGATCACTCCTTTCACCAGAGAATCATTTCGCCCGCGTCCCATGATGGTAGGCTCAACAGTCGAATCTCGTTCGGAGCAAAATATCGGCACAATAAAAGGTTTACGTTCCCTTACAGGCGGCAGCCAGCAGGCGAATTTGAGATCGGTATCAACCGACCACCTAATGAGGCCGACAGTAAGCGACGTCGGATGTTGGACTATCCAACGAGTTGCCAGGAATGTACCTCGGATTTCAGAGCTGCCCAAGCGGACAACGTGGGCGAGAGCTCGGGCGTGCATTGATATCAGTGAGCCCCGTCGGTCCGTAATTTGGCTTTCCGTCTGGGATCCGGCTCATCGCTACGCCGCAGAGGAAGACCAGAACAAACTGGAAGCTGCTGTGGTGCGCGCCAGGAAGCGGTGTGAACTCGCAACGCAAAGTGCGATGATTAGGAGCACGTTCGCGTAGCCGCAAAAACGTGAATAATTTACAACTAACCACGTGTGCTGCCTCTAAAGCATGCCATTCAGAAGCAGTACTGAAGAGACTTTCCTCGGGCTCTTCAGAAGCGAAAACGTCTTCCTCGTTGCGTTGCCAACAGACTATTCACGTCTGTAAGCTGCAAACGAGGCTTTGACCGTCTCAGGACGAACAGACACAAGTAGAAAAAAATGCCCGGGAGCGAGCGAGTAAGCCACTCAGTCGTTCAGTACACAAACAAGACTCGGGATGGAGGGATATCGGGCAACGAACACCAACACCCGAATAAAGGCGGGAGTATCTATTTCAGAGTCAGTTGTCTTTGCAGCCCGCACAAAAACGACGAAGGATACACAATTTGTTGAACGCGTCTGTTTGTGATGCTCCGTCGGTCGCCGTCGATTGAACGGCGTCGTTTGCCGTCGTCACGCTGAAGACCCAGTCCGAGAAGCTATAATAAAATATGATATGCGAAAACGCACTCGGGCTCCCTCTAGTTCGTCCGAGACCTTTTTCCCGCCGTCGCTATCTGTCGCATTCCTTAACTACAACATCTCAGTCGTATTGGGAAGGATATCGAGCCAGAAAGGGCTTTCAGCTTCGCTTCACTCGTCTTGGATGAGGCGATGAGTCGAATCCATACCTCATGATGACGGACAAGGTCCGAAACTCGTATTCATCTTGGCTTCCGGGCTCGGAGAACGCCTACACTCAGCTCGCCCTATTAAGTAAACGTGGATCCGCTCCGTGGGTGATTCGAGCATGAATGACGACGCGGGCGAAATGATGTCTCCCGAGGAAATGAGGACGCTGACCCCCGAGAGAATATTCGCCTCGCATTCTGAGCACTTTGACTCAAGCAAAGGAATATGGATATTCGGGAAGTATCATCGACCTCAGGGAGCGGTCTGAAGTTCTGACACAGTCGGTCAGAGGCAAGCTCCACTGATCTCACCCGTTTATTCTGGACTGCGACGCGTTTCCTTGGGTTTTCGGAGAACCCTCGGGACGCGGAGGAACTCATTCAACAACCTGCGAGAAGACTTCCCATTTGACACCACTCCTTTTGGGGATCGGACGCAAGTAACGGGAGCCGGAACGACAGCAAAAGCTGGACCCATTCTTGCGCCGATTCACGGAAAATATCAGCCGCATCCTGAATCTAGGGCAATGAAAATCTGAGATCAGACCATGGAGAGGTTTTGGGCTGCTTGGGTTTGGAACACGACGCAGCGACGCCGCTCTCGCAGACGGAGGTGTGGGTTCGATCCCTGCTGCCGGAAAAACATGCAGGTAATCGGCCTTGATCCTCCTGGGTACATTTGCTCTATGGATCCGTCCTCAGAAGCAATGTGAATAACAGTACCCGGGACGTTGAACCTTGGCTGTGTGGTCCAGCCCGAAAAGGTTTTTTTTTTGTTTTTTCTTGTTTTTTTCTCGGGTCTGGAACACGAGCCTCTTGCGATTGCTCTTGATGCGACTACATTGGGAAGCTTCAGGGGATGATGAAAGATGATTAGCCTTTTGGGTCCATACACTTCTGTATGTGGATACCGGAACCGGTCTGGGAAACAATCCCAAGTCGATAGAGGAGAACATTTGCTGCGGGATACGGCGACATCCTCTATTACTTCCGGATACGAATTTTTCTGGACGGGTGTTATTCCCTTAACCCAATCCTATCCACGCACCCGGCCATAAGTTCGCCGACCCTCAGCGCGCGGATCTATAGATAGATCGATTGGATTGACAGAACACCTAGACCTGGGGCATGTTAAACGTGAAACGCTTTCCGCTAATAAGCTCTGACGCAGATTGACTCACCTTGTGCAGCATCTTGTCGACAATCCCTTCAAGCGATGTCTCTTGAACATCAAGAAGAAGCACTGCTTGGATGAGAAACTGGTCCACGTCCATCGTAGCTCGAACTTCGGCGCCGAAGTCACGCATCGGCAGCCTCTGTAAAGCACAATGTAGTAGCTCCCTCTGCACAGGAACTGGGCCTGTCGATCGGCCCGAAGATACATCTGACGTTCGCCGAGAACCCGACATCGCTGATAGACGACGGCCCGCATTTACGACGACTTGCACTGCCGCACTTCCGAATGCTTTCGATTGCGACTTGGTCGATGCCCTGCGCTGCTCCAACGGTAGGCCCGGCACGGACAGCACTTCGGCCACGAGACCATCCTCATCCGTCGGCCGAGTCACTGTTGTCGCAGGTATGTTAGGCACAGAGGCACTTCGGTTCCCAGTTCCCGCGGATGTCCCGGACGACTCCGGAGACCCCGCGGGATGCCCTTCAGGCAGCTTCATCATAGTCATCAACGTCCCAGACGTTTCGGCGAAGGAGTGCCGCTGCGAGGGCGGCTGTTGATCGCTTAGGTGCTCAATGGTTGAGCCTTTGCGACAGCCTCCGCTCCGAAATATCGTCCGCCGACTCCTTGTCACCGTTTTCCTTATTTCTGTTGTCGGCTCTGCAACGACCGATACCCCTGTAACTGTTGCCGACGACCTCGGATTGACTGAGCTTTGATGTCGAACTCGCTGTGGACCTTATTGAAGCTGTACGGGCAGTTGTCGACGCCGACGGTGTAATTATCGCTGCTTCTGTCAGTGATGTCCGCGGAGCCGATGGTAGCCTCATCTTCTCAGCCTTGGGACCAGGGAATCCAATCGGCGGGAACCCTTGTGACTGTACGGAACTGTGCAACTTCACCGAAGACAGGGAACATTCGGCACGATTTCGAAGACGCTCAAACGTAGCCTGGCTTCTGCAACCACAACGAACCCCACCGCTGCCATGCTTGGCTCGGACATCCCCGCCCGTGGCCGTAGTTAACGGTGCTCTTCCGTAGACGCGGTTCCCTTGCTTGCTCTTATGAGGCGGAGAAAAATGAAGGCGCGAACGATATCCTGTCGGTCGACAAACAACGGTATCCAATCAACACGCCTTTGCTTGAAGGGACGCAGTCACCCAGACAGTCATCAGGCGGACATCGTATCAATCAAGTCAACACATTCAATCCACTGGACAATGCACGTTAATCGATGCGACACTCTGGTTCATAGTCCATCAATCAGTCAACCAGCCAATCAATCGATCTATCAATCTGCTGCTGTGAATGGAGAACAGAGAAAACACTTCACAGGCGGCGGAACGATAACAACAAACACTGATCACTTGTAGACATGGTGTATCCATCACGTAGGCACATTTCGCTCAACACATATGTAGACGACGAAGATGATTGATCGATCAATTGATTAGTTGATCCATAGATGATAGTGTTGACGGATAATCATAAGTCACTCGTCACTAGTGGTCGCTTCAGCGACAGCCACTCATCGAACCCGGCAGCTCAAAGAAGCTCGGCGTCGCCCCGGTTTCCGACGTGCCTTCCGTATTTGGAAGCGTCTCCTTGCGTTCTCTCCCAACCGTTCGTTGTTGAACGAATTTCCTTGTATGAACGCTTTTGTGATTCTTGTGGGATTAGCCGAGATTGTTGTTTGCGCCCCCGCGCGCTTTATTGTGTTTCTTATTGGGATAGTTTTCGTTGCTGTCTGGGAAGCCGTCGTCGTCGTCGCTCGGAAGATTATTGTTGCATTCAAAAGAATTTTTTTCCGTCGAGTGTTGCTCTTTGTTGTAGGTTTTGCTGCAGAATGAATGCGCATTTCCCCGAGTGGCCCCGTCGTCACCGTCGTCACCGCCAATTATGGTGAACACCGACCATCGATGGCTCGTTCGATTAGCTGCTCAACCGAATCAGAAAGAGAGGGACTGACAGATCGATGGATTGATCGATTGAGTGATTGATCGATAGGACACTTATTGAGGGGTTTGTCAATAACAGTCGGTCGTCGAACCGATCGTTCCCCGATGATTCGATCAGGTCGAGCCTTGTTCACTCAGCGAGTCAGATCCCGAATCCATCTTCCATCAGTGGCATGACTAGTGTTTGACAATTAACTCCGGATAGGGAAAGGCGTCACGCTGCGCCGCAAAGTCAACGAGCGTTCTACAGGTCAACGAGAACAGTCTCGATGGAGAGGATTCCGTTGCGGGAGAGCGGGTGATGATCAAGATCGATTAGTCAGCGATCCTCGCTGACAACGATCGTGCTGATAACGGCGACGACGATGATGATAATAGAGACGACGACGGTGGAGGGGGTGATGATAACGATGATGACGACGACAACAGCAACAAGAACAACAACTGCAACAACGAGGGATCGACACCGCGCCGGAGCCCACACGCAGTGGTTGGCGCCAAAGCGAATCACAGAAGCACATGCGACGAGTGGATGTCTCGTGGTCGGCACACGCTGCTTCCTTCCACCGAGGCGCTCAGCGTGGCTCTGAGCCGCCTTGCCCAAACGATTTCAAACGAGAGTCGACTCACCCGCCACTAACCCACTGCTACCACCACCACGTTTTGTCCGCCGCGGGGTGGCGCTCGCTTCGCCCTGCCTCGGCCTTGTTTGTATTGCCTCGCAAGATCCCTTTGCCTTGCGAGGCTTTTCTTGCCTTGCCGCCTTGCCCGTCGTACGCCTCGCCAATTTCGTTGTGGGCTCCGGTGTCGGTACAACAACAGCTTCCTCACCGCAGTACGTCTCACGTCGATTCGACAATGAAAAAATTCTCCGCTGCGGAATGCCGTCTGAGGAGTCCTCGAACTCGCCGCATGAACTTCGATCTTGGCTCGAGGTCGGCATTCTCGCATCACCACCGCCGCCGCCGCCGCAGTGGACGTATGGACGGAATTACGCGGCTGCTGCGTGCCCTTGCCGGCGCGTTAAATTAACATCTTATGGCTTTTGGCGGGATGGGTAGAGAACGCCTTTCGCGTAGTTACTAACATGCACACAAATACGCCAAGAGACGTCGTAAAGTCGATGTCAATTCGATCTCTTCGATCCACTGCTCGTCCTGCCTCCACATATACATCAGGCGGAGCAGCATCGATGCCGTCAGGCCCGTCCTCGACGAGGAGATAGTCAACGCAGCTGGCCGACGCAATCATGGATATGCTTAAGGGAATCCTCGGACCCGAAGTCGTTCAGCCCCAACGAGCAGACACCGGTAGTTCCTCAACGATGGCGTAGTACCTCATCAACGGCGGGACCGATTCCAGATCGCATGGATCGCAACAATGGGTGGAACCGGCTTCGGTATTGGTGTCTGATATTTTCCCCGCGTTTTTTCGGATTGAAACTCTCACGATCCAACCCATCGCGGTCCCTATCGGAATTATCGCCCGTTAGCCGAGCATAATCGGCGCAGTTGAGCTTCGGGATGTACAGTAAAAGCTCGTTATAACGACCCCCATTACAACGAGTTTCTCGGTACAACGAACAAGGAATTTCTCCTGCTCTGGCCAGCTCGCCATAGGGATAGTGTTGAGTTGCATTCGTTACAGCGAAACTTCGGTACATCGACCCAGTTTCGTCGGTCCCTTCGTGTTCGTAGTAACGAGCTTTTACTGTATAGTCATCGGCTCGTTGCCCAGGTATCGATAACTTCTGGCTTGAATAATTCGAGAATCCCAACCAATCCATCAAATGTTGATAAATCGCGACGGCACAATACGAAGAGCAGGGGGCCGGGAGCATTCGAGTCGAGAATCGTCGGTGAGACCATCGAGTGTATGCGCTCATTAAGAGTTATTTATATTCGAGGATTATTGATTCACCCCATCTCACCGCTGAATATGTTCCACTCTGACACACAGCGCGCAGAAACTGTTGTTGCGGGGAACAAGTCGGAGGAGGAACTCCGACGGCAAAGTTCATATTGGAAACTCTTGTCGTCAGATTGGATCGAACGACACTCGTTAGCTGCTTCATCGAGGTGAATAAAGATTGCTCTGATAGGTTGGGCGCAAGCCCTTAGTTATCTCATTCGGGCCGGGAATCCTCATGCTCACATGAGCCGCCTCCATCCATGGTCGGGTATGAGTTCTCGCTTTTTTTCCTCGTCCAATCGATATCGGTGTCCTTTGGCCTGTTGCCTCCATCAAGCAATCCATAAGTCACTGTCGGTCCGTCCGTCTCTGCAGCCGGACGACAAGCGAACCGTCTTTCTGCGTCTCGGCGGGATCAGGTGAAGGCCGGTTCTTCAAGCTTGTGTCTCGAAGCTTTTTCGGCTGCTGTCTTGGCGCCACGGCGTCGCGGTCTCCGCTGCTCGGCTGCTTGCTTGTCGCGAACCATTCATGATTCATGCTTCAATAAGTCAGGAAGGACGTCGACAAAGGGCGACAACAACGACTTAACGATAGCGAAAGCAACCAGTGCTCAACAAACCAACAGCTCTATCGAATCTTCGCGTCACGCATTACATCCGGGCGAAGCGGCGTCGTCGGCGACGGCCCCGCAGTGAAAGTGAAGAAGGGATTAATCGATCAGTCATCACACTCTCTCTCTAACGCTCCGGAAACGTCGGGATAATTCCCCGAGACTCGCTAATGGACCTCGAGGAGTTCGGAGAACGTTCGAGTTCTTCAAACACTGCGGCAATGTCGCATCGCGCCCCGCGAGCGACTAACCCGCTGATTGGCGAGGGTGGTGTCGCACATCGTGGAATTGAGCTGATCCCTGTATGGCTTGCGCCCGCTCGGCGCATCAGGCACGCAGGAGAAAACCGGCACCATTTCCCCGATGGAAGTCGTCAAGCCGATAAGTTGATTCCGAAATCGTTCTTTTTCTGGATGAGCTGTCTTCTGTGACTAGACCCCCTCGTCCTTAGGCCTCTTACGGAAAACGCGTGGCATTGGCATCGGATGTCAGCCTCCCACGCTATTGATACTTACGTAGTACTGTGCATTTGCAGATGAGTTTTTGAGGCTGTTCCACGTGCTCAACTGCTCGACAGAGCCGAGTGACGATCCTTGTCGGATCATACGCAGTCGGTGGCGGAGGAGCAGGAATAATTCAACTCTGACTGAAAAATTCCCGACTGAACTCTCAGCTCACGACAGAGTGATTCGGTAGAGCCTCGTAGGGGGTGGAGAGCGCATTGTGCAAGATGCTCAAGTCTCCCCTGAACGACAGGCACTACTCGCTACGGAGTGTCTGCTGGGGAGAATCTTCAAGCTTCCGGCCTAAGCGGGAATATTCAGAACGGAGCGCGATGTCGTGTTCGAACGTATATTCCGTGAGTCTAAGGAATTATTTCTTTTCCGATCCGCTTCGTCTGTGCCTGGTCTGAACGTCTAGTTCGTAATCGATCAATGGATTTGTCCATCGATCCGTGAAGCCTTCCTCCTTCCAGCTCGTCCGACTCCTCCACCCCGAACGACGACGGATTCTATATTGCTTGTGGCGGGAAGCGAGTGAGAGCTCCGTACCTGCGCGCCACGTTCGGCCCGCTTACTCGTTCACCCACTCCTCGCTGAATTCCTGGGTCTTTGCGATCTACGAACCACAAACGCGGTTCACTGGGCAGGCGAGCCGACGGGCGGGCGGGCGGTCGGTCTAGCAAGCAACTTTATGCGGAGTAAATCAGGTTTGCAGTCGACGAACAGACGGACGACTCAGTGGGGAGGAAAAAGTCTCATATAATATTCATAGCCCGCGGTGCCGGAAGACGAAGGAGTCGTCGAGGACAACTTACACTAATCGAATCTGTGTCGATTAAAGCTCTCGCTTGTAGTGGTACTCTTGCTCGGCGGTTTCGCCGGACTCCAATTCTGATTCCGACTCGTTCTTCCATCAGAGGAGTTCACCGGATCCTCTCCGCGCCCCCTTCAACGAGCTTTCCGATTCCCAAATCTGAGATGCTTTCTATATACGGTGACCTCGGTTTGTGTTTCATGCTCTGCTAGCTCCGAAGGAAGAAGTTGACGCGTTGAAAATTGTATTTCGCATCCGAACGCTTGAATAAACTCGCGGGGCAGCGCAATCTGCCTGACGTACTCCCCAGATGAAGGTACAGGTGGCGCCCGCTGCCTGTCCGTTTCAGCACCTTAGCCCCCGCGTGGCGCCACCTAGCGGAACTTTTGGCGTCTCGTAGACTTGTCTGCCCTCGAGTAGTCCTTGGAGAGGACACCGTGGAGGGGAGGGAAGGTCGTACTACAATGAACACGGAGTAAAAACAGCTGATCCATTCATGAAGCCTAACGCCTCCGCCGCTCATAGGGAGCAGCACCGTCCGCACTCGTCGAACGATTTCTCGAGGCGTTGCAATGATCAAGGTGATCCTTCGTTCGATTGCAAACTCTGTTCGGTGTCAAAGTGGTTTTGCGGACAACACAAAGCTGTCCGACGTCGTTTCGAAGCCGAGAACACTAACGTTCTCCCGATACTGGGAGCGTGTCTCCGGTGGCCTCAAATTGGAGGGGGAATCGATGAGGAAACCAACTTTTCGTTCAGAAACTTCTTGTCACGCTTCTCAATCGGATTCTTCAGATCGGAGAATGAGGGAAACTCGACGAAGAAACTCCAATCGCCAGCCGAAGGAAGATTCGCCCGGAAGGATCCCAGCGAGATTGTCGGCATGTGGACCCAAATGAGGCGTTATTGGCATCATCGAAATATAAGCTATCATTGTCCCCGGGGGGCTAGGGGGGCTTTAGCTGATCCCAAAGAGCATTGGGAGACCTCTCTCCCCTTGTTCTGCGCGGCTCACGGCGGATCCGCGACACGAGCGATCGCTCAGAGTCACTGTGCTCGTCTGCGGCAACGGACGCCGCCGTTCTAGGAACCATGACGTGACCGCAATTCTCTGTCCCTTACGCGTGTCCCAGCAGACGGTGGCCCACCTGATCCCCAAGGCATGTCATCATGCACGTCGCACGCGACTGACACTACGACAACGCCAACAACAACAAGAGAGACCACAAGCGCTCAGCGACCGGGAGAGCGTATCTGCGCTCGACGGCCACAGCAGAAGGCTGAGAATGAAGCCAAATATCCATTTTCGAAATTGAGATCCGGGATCCAAGGTGTCAAGCGAGAGAGCATGAGTGTTGTACCCCGAGGGTGAGAGAAGAAGGAATCCCCGGAGGGAGCTGAGTTTGTCCATCGAGGAATGCGGGGTGAATACTTTCAGGAAATCGCCTTTCGCTCGTCGGAGGAGTTTTTCGATGCGGAAATCGGCGCCGAAACCAGAGCAAGCCAACCCAATACAAGCTGGTCCGCGAGCGTCAGCTGTCGAAGTTTAAAAAAGGCGGGGTGGTCGCAGAGAAAGAACAGCCACTTGGAGAAAGGAGAAATACGCTCTCGGGACCTCACGCCGACCAGCGGCCCACACTCTTTTCCGCTTACTCTCCTTCCCCGGTTTTTATCCTTGATTCTTTCGTGTTCGACTGCGCAGCTCCGAATTAAGTGACCGTAAAAAACAGCGCGAGAATCTCGCGGCGGAATCGTCGTCGACATTGGGCTTGAGAGTCTCTACTCTCGATCGTCTTCAGCGATGCAGAGGATGACTCGAGAATCGACTTGCTCTACACATTCGATAAGTCTAAAATGAAAGGAATCCAACTCACCTCAAACTTAGCATACATAAGGGACACCTCATCGCCATCATCTGGAAGGAATAAAATGAATTGGTAAGACGGCAGCGACCGGAAGCGTGTCCAGAATGTGTTCCCAGAATGGGTTTCTCCGAGAACAAGGGAATCTATTCCATCGCTCCGTTCGCTTTTCCTGGATAGGTATCCTACTGGGACATCTGCCGATGAACACTGGATTATTCTTCCTGGAGGATGTCGTGGATACATATGTACAGATGAACGGAATAGAGCTTGGGCTGGATTGGGATGGCTCAAGTGCTTTTCACTGTAGATCGTCTACCCCCGAGGGACGTCCTACCGGAGAACCACTCACGTTGTTCAGAGGATATCACCCTGGGGTAAATCGGATCGGAAAACCCAATCGGCTGCGAAGAGGCGTGCCAGAGAAGTGCTTCCAGAGACCCCATGAAACGCCGCATGCGATCTTCATAAATATTCACTGTCCTTATTCCGTATAGTCAACGCTGGCGCGCAACGTTAAAAGGTTTCACTTTGAGCTGTTCCGCTGTACTCTTCCGCTTACATTTAGGCCCACCGAAGGGCGGAACGCACAAAGCGGAAAGAAAATCAGTCGCAGTAGGAGCTTCCGACTGTTTACACCGCTTGTCATGAATCTTGTTTAGCTGTTGTTGGAATAATTCTCTAACGGAACGCGCCTGGCGCTTTCCTTCGTTATTCCCCCAGATTACTCTTCGTGAACGCGCTCGCGCGCTCGTGTTTCCCCACTCTTTGGGTCACGTCTAGAACCCATCGTCTGAGCTCCGTGTTTCGGATTTCCGAGCTATAAGCAGAGCCTCGACCGTTCGAAACAGAGATCACCGCAAACAAGCATCAGTTCCTGGGAGACGCAAACTCTTGGGCAAAGCTTCTCCTTCCCAAAATGAGGCAGACTTATGGAAAAGTCTGCGCGAATCCCTTTCCGCATGGAGGGCCAGCGAGAGTAGGAGTAAAGCTAGCGTCTTCAATCACGGCTAGAACAAGGAATTCCAATACTGGCAATTGCAGGGTGGAATCGTTGTTTTTCCTTTTTCTACTGTGTTATCGGATTCACTACTCTGTCTGGTGAGACTCTGTCTCGGAAGAACGTTGAATCAGCAGCACCAGCCATCCAAGGAGTTCGCCATCGAGCCCGCTCGACGCCTCGATCCCGGTCGTTCATTAAAGCAAGCGCTCCGCCGACTTCGGCACTTCCACAACGATTAGTATCCCCTGTTATCGCAGCCTCATTCTGGAGCCCACCATGGCAGACAGGACGCTTGGGGGGTCTGTCTCGGCGATGCAATCGTTAGGACGACGACTTCGAGCTCTAATCATCGGGCCCTATTACGGAAGGAAACGCCCGGTCCGCCAGCCGTTCCCGGATTGATAAGTTTTATTTCTCCCAGCTAATAGACTCTGCTATGAATGAATTCATGGATTATCGGAGCGATTCAATTCATCAACTTCTGCCGAAACTGAAGTCTGCAGAGGATATATTCGAAAATACATATATTCGAGAAACCTCGATTAGTTCCGCTCGAAGTAACACAGAGTTTGATTGGGTTGCGTGGATCACCTGGATGAGAATGTGTTCGGTTGCGGAAAACTCTGTCTGCAACAATGAACCCCCCTTGCTGCTACGTCCACCGGAACCATCAACGATGGCTACGACAACGACGCCAGACGCCGCGAACTCATACGTTATCCTTTTACTGTAGAGGCGGAGTAGAGGAGCGTATCTCACTGCAAACTTTGTACTTTAACTGGCGGCGTCTTCTGCTCGAGGCCGAAACAGCTTCGCAGCTTGTCTGGCCGGAACCTCACCGAACATCACCTGCACAGCTAACGGTAGCAAAAAGAAAAAACGCCGCGCCTTCACCACCAGCGCCAGCAGAACTATCGGAAAACGGAGCCGCCCGACTGTGCCACGGTAGTAGAAGTCACCGGCTGCGGTGAAAGTAGCCGCCACACGGCTTCCTGGAATGCTCCCAGAAAGCCATACGGAGCAACCATGGAAAAATACTATCTGAAAGAAGGAAATGAAGACAAGTAAACAGCAGAGCTCGGGTGAACCCCAGCAACAACCTCGACCGACCGACCGAGCATCGGTCGACGTCAAAAAACGCGGCGAGCGAAGAGGTAGCCCACCGACAGGCCGCAACGAGTAAAAACAGACGGCGGAAACGGAGACTGCGATGGCGACGGTGGCATTTGTGACGGGCGGCGTCGAGCGGGAAGAAAAACGAACAAAGAACCACTGCTGGATGTAGTAGTATGTAGTTGTTGAACGCCTGAGACTGCGCAACCGCAGCTGAACAATCCTCTTTGCGAAGAGCTCCATTGTCGTCCGGGGGCACGCGACAGACATTCGGAGTATCCACAACGGACTCACTCCCACCATCCGCCGATTCCGTCGTCCCTCGTGTTCCTCGCCACGGACGAGCGAGCTCGCGAATGCGCGGGAGGAGCAGGGGATGAGATAAGACTCTCCGCAATTTTCCAGTTTTTCCTCTTCTTTGGGCCCCACGCCATTAGTTACAGTGACGATAGCGATGCGTGGTAGCGAGGGTGGTGTAGAAACAGCCATGTTGGCTATTCGAGCGAAATTATCGTGTTCGGATTAACACCGTGAGAAAATAGCGTGGTCATGCAGAAGTTTCCCGGAACCGACCTTGCCGCTAGATCGCGGAGTTCTATCAGAAACTTTACTCGTTCATCTTCCGAACCTCAGAGCCGTTTCGGAAACGTCGATCCTGCCTCTCCCACAGATTATATTGCGTCTCCTGAAGAGCGCATCCTCGACAGGATGATCACTCCGCTCATCGGACAGGGTCCTGACGAGGGAAGTCAATCCCTGGGAGCGACAGCTCTGATGAACACCCACCGCGACGACCTCCCCATCCTGAGCTAAGTCTCTCGAACGCTCTCAAGATTTCCTCCTCCACCGTAAGGACTTTCTCCGGACTCCGAACGATCGATATGTAAAAGCGAAAAAACTTCCGAGAGCGCACAGGGACCCGGACTCAACGCGCCGATCGAGTTGGCTACTCGTCCTCTTATTCGAATCTGAGTGGTGGGTACGGTGGACCCGGAATATTTGTTGTACGAGGCTCGAGGCCTGCTTCTTATTCCGGGCACCGGAGAATCCAAGTTCGCTCCCGGGGCCACGCATCAGGGACCAGCGGAAACCAAATGATCCGAAAAATTTTCAGGATGCAAGCGGCTCCGTCGACGTTTACCACCGTCGAGCTCCACTTCTCGTGCTTCAGCGCCCGCTCGGAATCGGCTACCGTGGCGGTTGGTGAGGGGGTCGGCGTAAGGGAGTATTAATGGCATCTGCTCTCCATGGTCCTTCCTCCTTTTCTGCTCTCTGGGGCGTTGTGCTTGGAACATCCGACTTCTCTGAGTCTCTTCCTATACGCACGAGGGGCCTGAGGAATGTGGATTTCCCCTCCATGTTTTCGACGCAGCCAGCGCTATGGGTACCTGCTATTTTCCTCCGAGTAAATGACGGCGTGCAATATTTTCCGCTCCTCCGATGATGATGATGTATCGGGAACCCCGTCCCATCCCCTATATCGCCTTCGAGCTCCGTATATATTGGAGCGGATCGACAGCCATGAATCGACGCGGATCGCAGCGGGCATTGAGATCAATACGGGGCGAGAATTGAGGCCGTGCGATTTCTTTTTCTTCTGTCTCTAAGTTTTCCTAAGTTCCCTCTCCTAGTTTTCCCAAGTGTCGCTGAGTTTTCCCAGAACGGATATTAGCCTCGGAGTCGGAGTTTGTCCCCGTCGTTAGACTGACGGTCTCTACTTCTTCGGATATCTTCTCCTCTACAGACGAGTTCTCTCGGTGCCGCCAACGCTGGCCCTATATTTCCGGGCAGTATTTTTCTCCACTCTCGTAGGCCATATATAAACATTATCAACACCGATCCTGTGCTAGCCTGGAGTACTTCTTGTCGGTTCTTAAAGGAAGTGCCGCATTAAACGCGAGAGGGGGAATAAGCAGCCATCGATGAGGACATGGCGACAGTGTACAGTTAGAGTTGATTGTCATCATATCCAGATCGGGAAACTTCGGATAGAAAGTCTTCTAGGAAGACCCCTGCTCGGGGAGGGAGTCTTTGACCGGGAGGGGGGGAAGGATCGACGGTTCGACGGAAACGCCTCGGTTTTATGTGTTGCGGGAGAATCGGATATCGTTCAACATATCCTCAGACTCATCTGTGTATACAACTCCGTATCTCAGCGCTTCGCCGTCAACCCCACCAAATCCAAAGAGAATGTCACAACGAGGCGCCCAGCCGACAAAACCACAGGCGGCAAGGATTCCTGAAGAGCGTCTCTGATGCCGAGCACCTTCCGGGAGCTGTGATGCGCACGATCCATTATGGATTTTTTTCGAAATGAGCTAAGCAGCATGGAAAACAGCTCAGGCTCCTCAAGGGAAACTTGCGTAGGAAGGCTCGGGAACGCCACGCTTGGAGCTCGGATCCGCGGTTCTTGCCGTGACCTCTGTCGGTCCGCCTAAGCTCTGATGATCGATCCACAAGCGCTCCAACGACTCGAAACCCCCCCCCCCGGTACACCTCACCCTCGGTCGAAGTGTCCCGAAACGTGATCCTCTCAAGATCTTGAGAGCATCTCTCGACCGGGGACTCCTGCTCACTCAGAAAGAGTCGCTGTCGCTAGTCAGGTGTGGACATGACTGAGAAAAGGAATCCCCCTCCCTTCGGGGTGTTCGGCACCCACCAGATGGGGATCTTCGTCGTTGCTTTCGACGGGGCAGGCTCGTCGTTCAGTCGATAGCTTACAGAAGTTTCCTCTTCCCCGAGACTGCTCGAAGTTTCTCCTCGCAGACGCGAGGTTCTCTTGGAGTCGTTTCCCAGAGTTACCACAGGACTGAATGCCAGCATCGCCGGACTTTCCAGCCGCACGCCGCTTGACCGTGGAGGAATGAATGGGAGCAAGATGAGCGAACGAGAGAGAAACATAAAAATCAGGACGGGTCATTTTCTCATTTCGGAAGG